CACTAATGAGCCAATTACAAGAACTACCTGCATCACCTGTATACCCTCTTCCTTCATTTTCTTTAATATTTTCTAGTGTTTATTATTGCTGTTCATAATTTCAATAATAACATAGTAATTATAATGTTTATAACAAAAATAAGTGTCAATATTGATAGCATTAGTTAAAAAGAGAGTGTTTTCCCACTATTTCAAGGAAAAGTGAGGTCATAAGATCTACTAATTGACTCCTTTGTGGCAGAGCACTGGCAGAGCCATCTATGTACAGATACATTTAACAAAACAATACTAAATTGCACACTATGTTTTCCCATTGGCATTGGGTTAGTAACAGCATCCGTAGTGATAAAATTAGGGAAAAAGTTTTTTCCCAGAAAGTCAAGGAAAGGTGATATTAGATGAGGTCACAAAGTCTATTAATTGATTTCTTTATTGCAAAGCACATGTGGAGCTATCTATGTGCAGAGACATTTCACCAAACAATACTACAATGAACATAATTTCCTAGCGACAATGGGTTAAGTTACGATATATCTTTTGGATATAGATTTCAAACTTTTCCATTTTGCAGATGCAGTCCATAGGTTTGTAAATAGACTCCACTGTCATTATATTATCTGTTATTGTAGAAACTTGCAAAAATTAGAACTGCTTGGGTTATTAAATGAATCCTAAAATGAGGCTTGCTGTTGTACATGGACTCCCACACTTTGTCTTTTTCTTTTTCTTTTCACTTTCCCTCTAGGGATTTGATATTTCTTTCCTCCATTCTGTCATACCTTTTTTCTTGTACTTGAAATACGTCTTTTTCTTACTGCGATTGTTTGTTCATACTAGATCTGTAAGTCATAGGCACTGTTCACAGATGGTAGTCTTTGGGAATGATTACAATACTTATTTATTTGTTTATTTACTTATTTTACAGGTATGATGACTCAGCTTTTGAAAATGGAGTAAGCAAGATGGTGACTTACTTTGAAAACCATTTCTCGGTGCATGGCTCACTCTACACTAGACTTCTCATGTGTCATGTTATTGCAGTAGTCATAGATGTTGGTTCTTTTATCTACCTGGATTTCTTCATGCAGGTAAGCAAGATTATTTTTCAAAGGTTTATTCTTAGGTCATTGAAGGATGAGATAAAATGTGACATTTTGCTTGTGTTTGTATATTTATTGCAAGTAAACAGGACAGAATGCCAATTTCTCACACTAAATGTATATTTTCTGTATCTTTCCAGGAAAACTTTATTGGATTGATATACAATTCTTATCCATTCCAACGAAATCCAGGGAATTTCTCTGACAATTTGTACCAGGTCTTTCCTCCGTTTGTGTTCTGCTCTATAGATGAATACAATTTAATCAACAATGCAAGAGTTGATGTACTGCATTGCCATTTGCTGCTTATGGAACTCTATGAGAAAGTGTTTGTAATACTTTGGGTTATGCTGGCATTTCTAATGGTGATTGCAGTAGTTTCCTTGGTTGTGTTATTACTTATTGTATTGCCTCCCTTCAATAGGGTTTTTCTCTTTACATTTACAACATCCAAAAAGGTTAAGAAAATAAAAAGAAAAGTACGCCGCATCTTTGGCTATGGAGATTTGCATGTCATGCATATGATGAAGAGTCACGTGAGTGAAGGACAGTTCATCACATTCCTTGGACAACTTGTTGAGAATCCTCGTTTGAAATTTGATGCGATGTTTCCAAGTGAAAAAGAGGGACTGATAATAAGAAATGTTATGGAGGATGTTAACTCTATAACTGTACCATTGAATCAACATGAACCCAGTCACTACCTGCCTCCAGGGACTCTGCAGCCAGATACTGTCTTAACCCTGCCAAGTGATTCTCTTCTGCCAGACCTCCATTACCAAAATGGTAGTCGCACTCAAGGCCATACCTCCTCCACTCCTAAACCTAAGTCACGACTCCTTCCTCCTTTTTTTAAAAGTGAAAAGCATGCTGACCTGTACCCAATTATTGAGATCACTCCGTGAATTGATGATTCAGTGTAAAAAGATCAGATACTTTGTAAAAGATATAGGAAAGGAATTTTCTAAGTGAACTAGTCCTTATGGTATACATCTACGATAAAGTATAAACTATGAATAGAATGGTATGAATTAGGTGCCTCTTTCTATTAATTTCCAGAAAGTTTGACAAGCTATGTTCATACTTTGTTAATTTATGTTTATTTAATATACAAGTAATGAATTCCATGGAAATGGAAAGTTTATTTCAGGTATATTTTATTTTCAGAATTCATTTGCTTACATTATTGTCCTCAGGGTTATGTGGGTTCTTCAAATAATTAATTTTGTGTTTAATAGAAAATCCTCTATTCTCTAAGTTGGGTGAAGGACTAAGTCTTAGGCATACTACATTATATATTTGGAGAATATCAGTTTCATCTTGCAGTCATTACCAATCGTGACATAAAATCTCAAATTTTTTGTTTGCAAACCCTGTCATGATGGGGCCAGAATTTTCTGTGATATAATCCTGTACTTATGACAGTAGAGTGAAACATGATGCCTTTTGACACAATACCCAAATATGTCGTGAGGATTAACCCATCACTGAGGAGCTAATACATACTTAATTTGCCCCTCAAAAATCAAATAAAAATAGAAGCTGCTTTGCTATATATTTTGGTTTTGTATATTTGTTGATTTTAAAGAATGTCTTTACACAAGCCTAGAAGAGAACTTTCAGTTAATCCAGTTTGTCACTTATTTGCTGTTTATTCTTTCAATATGTTAAAGATTTTTGTTCTTTGGTTTCATGACCAAATTTTGAACTTACTTAAAACAAAGAAAATGTACTCATAATAAACTAAAGATAATAAGCCTTATTAAATCATAAATTTTGTTTTTATATGGTCCCTTTCTTTTTATATATTTGTTGCTGCTACTAGAGGAAATAAACAATCTCCATCTGCTAAGCCGATAGTGTGGTATCACCCTTACCTTGGACCTCAGCCCTTGCCTCAACGAATTTTGCATGGTCTTTTCTTCTCCACCTTTCTTTTTCCTTCTCTTCTTCCTCCCCTAGCTGTGTCAGTTCTGAACTGCCTCCATACTCCGCTGTTCCCTCTTACCATACTAACCTACAGCACTCTTTGACCTTGGACATATTTTGTCCTAATCATTAACTAATTTTTAACATCTAAGGTTATTAGCGCCATAGACAAAATATAGCAATAGGGCAAGGCTTGGGGGCAAAGCCCTCATATACCAGAAGGTCATATAGCATTATGATAAAGTATTGTGGCAAAAAGGTTTAAAATGAGTGAACAGTTACGTCTAAATATGTTAAGATGTCAAAGGTTGTAAGAGGCTGTTGGTTAGTATGGCAGTGACAAGGGTAGATAGAGGAAATAGAAATTGGAGTACAAAGGCCAATCAGGGCCTGACAAAGCAAGTCTTTCATTCTTTCAGCATGGCTCTCACTTTAGGATGTGGATAGAAGGGGTCAAAGGAGAAAGAAAAGGAAAAGAGAAGGAAAGACCATGCAAAATTAGTTGAGGCAAGGCCTGAGGTCCAAGGCAGGGGTGTGATCCCCACCATTGGGCCCCAGTCCCCGTCTCCTAAGCCACGACGACAATGGGCATGGGATAATCAGACCTCAGGGGTTTTCAGATCTTCAAGTAGTCTGTGAACTGGGCTGTCCATAACCCAAGACTTCCTATAATGGCCAAAATCATCGTAGCTAAAGGGTATTCAAAATAAAATTTGAAGGTTCAAGGTTTATTCCACACTATAAACTCTAACAGTACTGTGAAGAAAATCTTCACAAGAAAAGAGGAAACTCACAAAGGAGTGATAAAGATAATTTCTCACATTTTCTTGTACTTCAAGAAAACTTTATATACCTGAATAGGTCAGTGATACAAACTGTAATATTTTGCACTTCCACACAATCAAAATAAAATGTGATTTGTTCTTATAAATGATGAGCAAATGTAAAAATAATAATACTAATGATGATAAAAAAGTTATTTGAGTCCAGTATAAATTGTGAACTGCATATTTAACAATCTTTTCCTCTAGGTCTTTTTTTTTTTTAAGGATCTAAAATTGATCTCTTCATATACCAAGTAAATCCTGTAGATAAAACTTTTAACTAAATCATTAAAATTACAAAAAAAATTGTTATAGAGATTGTGCTGCAAGGAACTTCTTTATTTCTGCTAAAAGTTCCCGCTTCACTGTATCTGGAACCAAATCTGCAAACAAGAAAGAGAAAAAATATATAAATCTTACAAAAAAAATACCACATGCATCAGTAACTAGAGCATGGAAGCACTACCAATACCTTTTGACATAAAAACTGTATTCCACTTCAAAATTTGTATACAGAAAAGAACCATTTACTATAACTTGGAAAAAAAGCATCTAAAACTACTAGCTACTCTTGCACTTGTGTAATAGCATTGGTTTTACTTTAACAGTACTATTTGCTTTTTGCCACTGTATTCAGAGAATAATATAATTAGAAGTACTAATGGTAGTTTTGGTGTCATTTTGTTAGCACTTTTAGTAATGATTCCTTTTTGGTATAATGAAATTATATGAAGGGCCTGTTTTAGATGTATAATTTTTCACTGTCCACCAAGAATATCATAATGCGTGCTTTCTTTTCTTTTCTTGTTTCTGCCATCTCCTTAGTATTTGGTGTTTTGCCATGACTGACTCTTGTAAAAGTCTTAACTCATTCTAATGGTGCACACTTTTTAAAAATATGGTACTATGCCCTGAATTTTTTTTTCTGGAATTGGCCCAAGAAAATGGCATTGTGGCTAACTTGCTGCCATAATTGGTGTGTGTTGTTGGATGTGAATGTGGCCGCTGATGCACCTTGGATGGGGAAAAATCAATACATCAGAAATGCACCTACAGGAACCAGTAGTACTTCCCTACTCAGTCAGTAAACTTAACTTTCATTAACAAGGCAGTTCAATGCTTTTGCTCAATACATATTGGTATTATTAGGGGAGATTTAACATTACAGTTAAAGAAGAATTATTTTAAACCAGATTACAGGAAATTTGAAAACCCTTTTATAAACTCTATTCCAACATACCTCTTCCCTGCGGAGTGATCTCCTTCACTAAGTCATCTACAGTTACTTGCTGCAGCCCTCGTTCTCGTACAATATCCTTGGCGTGTTCCTGGAAATAACGTAGTGATGTTAATATGCTTGATAAAATCCTATGTTACCTGTTTTAAATATATTAGTTTTGACAACCTAATTATTCAAACTTCAAAATTGTCATACTTATGGTAAATGAGTGTGATAGTGGGGCAAGTAGGTGTTTCAAGTTGCACGATACTTCTGTTAATAAACATGAAGTGAAGAAAACAGTGTATTGTGCCACTGAAAATCAGCCTAATCTATTCTAAAAATTCTGTGCCCAGAAACACTGACATCTTTATTCAGGGGTTATACTGATGTTCTTCCTAATATACTTGAACAGTATATATCCAGACAGTAGACATCCTAAAGAGTCCACTGGAACAAAATTTATTAGTATCAATGGGCATCTCTTCTGCCTAATTACCAAGACATAATTAAACAATGCCTGTCTAGGGCACAGAAGCAAGCTAAGACTGTGAAGTTAATTTATGTTACTGTACACCAATATCCACATGGTTAATAAAGCATGAAAATGTGAAGATTGCTCATTCTAAAGCACTTTTCATTTTAAACATACCACATACAAATTGCAAATTAACAACATTCCACTGGGTGGCATCTATGAATATGCCTTGACTGTTCTGGGCAAAGTAGCAAGTGGAATCATATCACAACCATTCTTATGCCGTAAACTCTTCACTGTGGCCTTTTAATCTCATGAACGCGTCAGACTGGGCTTGTTTAACAGCTTGATTGGTAAAACTTTTAGGCCATAGCACCTAAACCTTCAAAAATGCATCAACTTTTAGGTGCACTAATGCTGTCGATAAATGCGCACCAAATTACATTATCGGTTAAAGAAAATAGTTGACATAATAAGTAACAGCCAATCCTATAGTATGTTACATTTCACCTTGCCTATCAAACTCTTGCATCTCGCTCAAGCGTCGCATGCCAAAATATATTTAAATCCCACACACAGTGACACCAGTGTTGGGAGGCAGCACCCTGGGAAACACTGTCTTCACCTCAGTATATACGACAAGAATGAGCTGAAACTCGGGAGCACCAAGTGGCCTTAGGCTGTGAGCGGCACTTTCCATGACCTTTCTCTTTCATTTCTGATGTTACCATTCATGTCTGCAGATTACTTCTTGTGCTAACTACAACAACTTTTTGTCCTCTACAAGAATATCATTTTTAATTTGCTACTTTCTAGAAAAGAGTCATCTATTGGGAAATAATTGCTGGCCATTCAATTCATCTACAAAAGATAATGGTAATTCTAAGTAAGACAGCCACACCTATTAATGTTTTTTTTCTCCTACCCCCTTCAACCTTGGGGCACACGTGGAGAATCGGGGGTTGAAGGGGGGGGGGGAGACACATGGGAGAAATAGTGGAACCAAAATTGAAAATTTTGAAAAAATGCAAAATCCGAGAGAGCCCGGCATACATTTCAGAAAGCACACAGTATTGTTTACATTCAAGATGATTCGAAGTAGCAAGATTTGTGGACTTTTTTTCTCTTAGAGAGGCAACCTTCGAATTTCAATTAAAGCACAACATGTGAGGTCCCTACAATTTTATTAACTTTGCCGACATGTACAAACACTGGTCAATAATTCAATGGTACTTTCCTCAGTATATGTAGTGTGGCTGCCTCAATTAGTACTGCCAAGATAATCAGTGAAACCTCCTAAATAAACAGCTTATTCATAAGCATAGACTGTTTTATGTTGCTTGTATCCATGAATTATTTGGCTTGTAAGTAGTGGTAATGTGAAACAACTAATACCAATATTTGTTGACTTTTCCTGAAGAACCAAAAGAGTAGAGGCCATGCTAACCACCTGGCACTAATAACCTCCAAGTATCTCATCTAAATTATTATTATTATTATCATTATTATTATTTTTTTTTTTTTTTTTAGCCATTACCGCTATAAAAGTCATAGATATCAAGTATTTCAGTATGTCAATCTCCCGGTTCTTTACATTATCTACCTTTCCTTAAGAAAACCGACTTTCAATGTCCATACAATGAACAAAAGCAAGTACAAAAATTTACGCAGCTGTCCCAACTTTTTAAGGATATATTTTACCTTGAGTTCGTCTCTCCATCCACATTCTGTTAGTCTTTGTCTCAACATGTCCTTCAATCTCTCCTTTTCTCCCGTCTCCACCAACTTCTGGTTAATGGAGTTCTTCATCTGCGTGCTCCGATCTGCCATAGTTACCAGTAATTTACGAAAAAAAAGAGTTAAGAAGCGGTGACTATGAGAAGGTGCGGTCCCGGATACTGTCTCCTGTGTGATTCCTTCGACACGTTTGTTTTGGTTCGTTTACCGTGTTGTTATGGGGCGACCTCGGCGCGCGGGGTTCGAATCGACGCCGTGCATGCGATTGATGATTGGGATTAGACTGTTGGGTTATGTGTCTATGGGGCTTTGTATATACGTAAACGCACATGCACAAGTGCATACACGCACGCACGCACGCACACACGCACACACACACACACACACACACACACACACACACACCACACACACACACACACACACACACACACACACACACACACACACACACACACACACACACACACACACCACACACACACACACACACACACACACACACACACACACACACACACATGTGTGTGTGAGTATTTATGTGCATATATAAATTTATATATTTATATATATATATATATATATATATATATATATATATATATATATGTATGTATGCGTATATATATACATACATACATACATACATGTATACATACATAAATACTCGCACACACACACACAAAAACACGCGCGCGCGCGCATATATATATATATATATATATATATATATATATATATATATATATATATATATATATATATATATATAACAACATATATATGCATACATACATAATGCATACATAGCTATACATACATACATATATATACAATACATATAAACATACATACATACAATACATACATAATACATATATACATACATATACATACATAAATACATACACACATAAATATATGCATACATACATGCATACATACATATATACATATTGTATATATACACCTCATAGGTGTAGGAAAAAGGGAGTCAACTTCGAGGACATTCCCTGTAAACAAACAGTATAATTCCTTAGTTACCCAGTTGTTGAGTATTGACCTTTTGCAATTGAGAGAGCAGCTACAACTGAGTCTGGTGTTGTAAATGAAATAACTATCATCTTAAGTATCATCTAAATAAAATGTCTTACATTTCAGTGTAGAAATTAAATAGTTTATGTTTAAAACTGCTAAAATCCAGGAGCTTCAGGGGCATTGCCCTTGGGCTCCGTCAGGGTCTTTAGACTCCAGGACCCCGGTATTTTTGGGGGGAACCTACTCTGCCCCCCTCACTCCAGAATACCTTCCTATGCCTATGCACATCCATGCATACTTGCATGGATGTGCACACATGCACACCAACCCACACACTCAAACAAACTCATACTATACACTCTCTCTCTCTCTCTCTCTCTCTCTCTCTCTCTCTCTCTCTCTCTCTCTCTCTCTCTCTCTCTCTCTCTCTCTCTCTCTCTCATCTCTCTCTCTCTCTCTCTCTCTCTCTCTTCTCTCTTCATCTTTACTATCATTATTATTGTCATCTTTATTACTATAATTTTACTTCATTATCATCATTAAATTATCATTATTAATACTATAATCTTTCTTCATTATCAACATCTTTATTATTATCACTATTATCATCTTTATTATTATTACCACCATCATCCTCATCCTTCTCATTATTATTGCCATTATTATTATTACCACTTTTATTATTGTCATTATTATCATCATTACTGTTTTTATTATTGTTATTATTTTTATCATCACTATCATTATGGAATTTGTCATTATTTGTCATATCTTTCTGGGCCTTTTTTCTGCCTTCATGGTCTTCGTAACATGATAATTGTGTATATAATAGTTCCAGGAGGCAGGACTACAAATAAATGTCAGAAATAAGCATAGATTCTTTTATTTAACAATTAACATGGGATCTTCATCCACCACTGAACAACACAGCCATAAGAAGAATATAATTGCTTTATATTCAACTTCCATAAAAAAGACACTGTTATCTGTCAGATTCTGAAGTCACACCACATATCAATATACCAATTAGATTAAAATTTGAAAAGCCTGTTCCACCCACATCTAACATCTTTCCTCACACAGAATAATATATACAAAAAATATACAAATATGATTTACATAGTTTCATTAGAATCTTATAAAACCTTCCTAAACATCTATCATTAGTGCAGTTATCAGATCATTAAATAAAGTGTGCGTTAAACAGTAAAGATTGTGCAGCAACTGAGTACTATAATGCAAAAATGCTTGTCATTAGCAGTTAACATCTGATGCAGATAATACAACTAGATTAAGCTTAACAACTGGACTTCTAATCATAATTCCTGTTGCTGTGTTAACTATTTTCAGCTGGCCATTTTCTAATAGAGCCTATGTGCTTAAGAACTATATGAGAGTATAATACTTTTCTTTACAATGGCAATCTGACAATGGCAGCAGTCCTTCATATCTACAAATAAAAAATTCACCTCATTAGTAAAACATTTAGTATGCTTGTAACAATTACTATTAAGAAAACAAAAATATACTCTTTATGGTTACATTTTCTTCTTTTTGCTTACCAATTTGGCACCTTGTAAAATCTTCAATCATGTAAATGTTCAGCATTTGTTTATAAACTTTTTAAAATCTTATGATATTACTCATAATATTCAAACATGATTTTAGGGTCATTAATGCATAATTATACAAATACATTGTCCATGTTATTGTACCTGCATCAATTTAAACTTTTTGTACTTTCCTGATGACTTTAAGTATAAATAGCTACTGTATTGTCATACATTTTTTGTATTGATAAATAATCAATTTCAGTTCTACGAAGTACAAGATACTTTGATTGTTTTCTGATTATCACATGTGCATACCTTTACATTTGATCTTACTGGCAGGCATTAGAATGAGAAAGAAAAAGAAGAAAAGAAAACAAAACTAAATTGTAAAATTTGCTTGGCATAATATTTTAGACACTATGACAAAAGATATTAAATAAAAGATGGACAGACATGGGTATATGGGAGAAAAAATAATAATAACAAAATCAAATGGGGAATTTACATTCTCTTGGGAATCTCATGCTATGAATCAATCATGATTCCTTTGCTGGAGCGAATCCTCCGAAGATCTCATTAGTCTGCTGGGTCACACGGATGAATGTTGTGCGCTTTGGGAGCTCCTTCAGTTTTCCTGCTCCTGTGTAAGTGCAGGCTGATCGCAGTCCTCCAAGAATGTCAAGAATGGTGGGTGTCACATCTCCTTTGTATGGTATTTCTACAGACTTTCCCTCACTGGCCCTAAAAAAGTACAAAATAATATATGTCAGTGAAATATTTGGATAATCATACTGCTACTTCTGGATAAACACCCACAGCTAGTTCTTGTAACACAAGTTTCATTTGTAAATATATCATATACTATACATCATCTGTAGAGCACTTATGTAGCAAATGAACATTTTACACATACTGATAACTGACCAGTAAATGTATTTATGAAATGTATGAAAAGATATTTGCTTCACTTGAACAAATATCATAAATAATGCAAAAATAAACTGTTAAAAAGTGCAAGTACTAACTTTGATTACAAAAATAGTGAACTGTGCAAGGTGATTTTCATTTTTAATAGAACACACTGGGTCCTATGAAGCCACATCATAAACTCATGTTACAGACAAACGTGTGATAGTCCCCAGTATTCTGTTAATACTGCAAAGCATAACTACCATTATAATACTTATGTTCAATCAATAGACAAGTTTACTACATGGAACTAAAAACAAAAAATTTCACTAATTTCCAGTATTTACCTGTACTCAGCTACTCTCCCAGAATACTTCTGCATGGCTGTAGCACTTGACATGCCATAAAACTGTTTAAATTTCCTCCCATTGCGTTCAATCATCTCTCCGCCTGACTGGTCATGGCCTGCCAACATTCCACCCATCATCACAAAATCAGCTCCAGCTCCAAAAGCCTTTGCGATATCTCCAGGGCAAGTGCAACCTCCATCCTGAAATATACAATGCAGCTCAGTAAAGAAATTAGGAATATACATATGGTTCTTATTATACTTTGTGTATATTTTATCCATACACATGATTTTGTACTTATGTATTCAACTACTATCCATAGAAGTAAAGGTATCCACAATACATGTACATACTTATGTATTTCATTAAGTTGAATAAACAAAAACAAAAAAAACTATTTTGACCATGGATAAACAGATCAATAGACATATTGATAGAAAACATATATAGATAGACAGATTAATAAATAGACAGATATAAATGCAGCACATAGTCTACTTACAGAAATGATGTGGCCACCAAGACCATGTGCAGCATCCGCACATTCAATGACTGCAGACAGCTGTGGATAACCCACACCAGCCTTCTTCCTGGTGGTGCATACAGAGCCAGGGCCGATTCCAACCTTAATCACATCAGCTCCAGACAGAATCAGCTCCTCAACCATCTCTCCAGTAACCACATTGCCAGCCTGTAGTTACGAAAATGGATAAAGATATACCTAAAACCTAAAGGAAGTTGAACTATGTAATAACACATTATTTTGGAGCTGCTTTAACAAATATCATATCAGGGTATGAGCACCGACATGTCCATAGGGTAAAGCTATAAATCAGATCATATACTTTTAAATTAATTAAATAATTCATATATGCTTCAGAAATATATACACTTACCAATATTGTGTGTTCTGGGTAGTTCTTCCTAACTTTTCTAACATATTCTACAAATACTTCTGAATAACCATTTGCAACATCCAGGCAGATGAATTTGATCTGTAAATGATTAAACAACATATTTCAAAATTGTTCAACCAAAAACAAAAATATTGTATATATATATATATATATATATATATATATATATATATATATATATATATATATATATATATATATATGAGATCATCAATTTACTTCACTGAAGAAACATATGAAAAGATCAAAGAATTTTTTCGTTCCAGTGCATGGTGAAAATGACATCAATACACTAATTTCAGTAAAATGTAAACAAACAATTATAGATCATGATATGTAGCTATGCCACACGCATGTTGAAATAAGCTTCACTTACCTCAGAAAAAGCTGCCAGGATCTGCTGGAGCCTCTCCCAGTCGGAGTCTGAGATGCCTGAAGACGCTGCC